AAAAGTTATAAAGCTGCAGAAGAATTCATTACACTTCTTTGTAAATAAGAACAGTTCAACTAACGTCTGAATGGTCACGTTAAGCAGCAATGTCCAAAGCAAATCACAATGGCACTAAAATGACAAGTGCTCAATATCAGCATACAAATACTATGTTGATGGACTTTGTATCTTAGACCAGCATGCAAGCTTTCAGTGCCCCTTCCCCCAGGAGGCCTATGGTACTAAAGGCAATGCACTTCAATATCCATTGAGGAAGATGTTCCAGAAAAGGGGAAGAGTCATTACTGGAAGACACTGGTCCTAATTTTATTCTAAGAGACTCTAACATCTGCCATACAGTTTGAACGCCTTTAACAGCTTCAATATAAGACAATGTGGGAATTTAATTCATTCAGAATAGAGCTGAAAGGGACCTTGGAGGTTTTCTAGTCCAACCCCTTACTCAAGCAGGAAATAAATGGCTGTCCAGTCTTCTTCAAAACATCCAGTGTTTAAAGCACCCACAACTTCTGAAGGCAAGCAAAAAATGGCCAAAATCAANGGAACGCTATTAGCCTCCCACCAAAGATGGTTCCTATTTTTCTACTTGCATTTTTACATGCTTTCGAACTGCTAGGTTGGCAGAAGCAGGAATAAATAATGGGAGTTCACTCCGTTACATGGTGCTAGGGATTTGAACCACTGAACTGCTGACACTTCTGATCGACAAGCTCAATGCCTTAGCCACTGAGCCATCGCATCCCTAAGTTCATAAAAAGGCTTGTGCTTCACTCTTTATTTCAAATAAAGTTTTTATACAAAAAATGTATGTTTAGGCTTAATTTACTACTAATATACGGGTGGAAAAAATTCAGTGACATGACCCTAATCAGCAAGCATTCTGCTCACTGCTGACTTCAATTATGTGTTGTTTTCACTCATTGCATTATACACGTCTGTGTTACTAAAATTGAGTGATCATTTCTAAGTCATTCAGGAAAATACGGTACTTACATGATTTAAGGAAGATTGACAAACTGTCACAAGCAACAAAAAAATGTTAACTTTAGAGACTCTTCATGTATCGCCCCTTTATAGCAAAGTCATCTGGGGAACATTGATAACATTCTGCCTAAACAAGGTCACTCTAAAGCAACGTGAGGCATATCAGAATATGGTTGGGAAGGCAAAATTTATAACATACACAACAAACTTTAAAAGAAAAAAAACAGGAAAACTCAAAACAGGCCAATGAACATAGTTTGTAGGTGTGAAATACTGTCATCTAGAAAACTAACCAGGGGAAGAGAAGAAGTGGGATGGGTTATGAAAGGAAAATAAATGTGGTAGCTAGCTAGAACAAAAATATCTTTATTAGAAAGTGAGGAATTGATGCAGCATGATTGTGATGCACTTGTGATTGAATATAATACACCAGCTAATAATAAGATCTATGTTCTGCTTTGGTCCCTGGCCTGAAAAGAATAATGCTGATAGATGGAAGCTATCATATGATGGAAGGAGAGTTTTGATTAGAACATCTTTTAGTGCACTCCAAGTTGATATGCCTGTTCACTTGGTACTTTGTTATAGTTCAGTTTAATGATCGCGAATGTACAATTGTGCTCTTACAAAAAAACAAGAAAAGGAATTGGAGGAAGAGACAGATGTACAGTTCAATCCAGAAGAAATTTATTACCTATGTAGTTACACATGGAAGCCTCTTTCCAACACATAACTCATGTTTCTATGTGGAAAAATATATAAATCAACAGCAATATGCTTTGTCTTAATCAGTTAATGAATTGTAAATCCTTATATTTCTTTTCTGGCCAGCAAAATTATAGTTACTGAAATAACCCAGATAAAAGCCACCTTTTCTTTCCCATTTTTATAGATAAAAAGATATTTCTTTGTTCTTGTCCTTTGAATTTATTTTGTTTACACAGAGCCACGAAGATTATAACTTTGTTAAGTATCCAAAGGTTTGAATACACATGCACACATACATGCACAACAGTGCTTTTCTAGTTTTATCCAAGGTTTTATAGCTAGCAATGTTTACTCAAACATAACACCACTGAGTTCAGTCAGATTTTTCTCCCACTCTAATGTGGATAGTATTGCAGCTTTAACTTAGAGTTGCACATGCATTTTTTGAAATAATTCTACTATTTCACTCCTGTTTCAATAATGAATTAGATAGAAATAATGAACAAGCATTTCCAGCAGTAAAAAAAAAAGTTTCAAAACTGAATTTTTGGCAAACTCAGTGGATTTAATTGAAAGCCTCTCAGGAGTGCTGTTTTCTATTCAACTCAACTGTCAACTTTTGTGAAAGAGTTTATATCATCAAAATTTGGAAAGAATTATAATAAATGTTTTCAAAAAAAGCAAAGGATGTACTGTAATGTCATTTACCCTTTCTCAGAAAGAGCTATTCGTAGAAGAAACAAGCTTTTCTAATTGATTTTTTTTAAAGAAAATGAGTCCCATTTTAAAATTTCTTAGCAAAGAACTATTTGGAAAAAAACAAACTAGAAAAGAAATAGTACAGGCTCTCTAAATGAAGCATTTGTGTATTTATTTGCTTTTGTATCTTGTCATTAAGAGTCCAATTTTACATTATTTATGTTTGAGTATATGGTAGCATCTGAACTCCAGGAGTTCATAAAGAAGATAATTATCTAGATCCATTTCAATCTGATTTGATGCTTGGGTTCAATACTGTGATGTAGTGTGCATCTGGCAGCAGAGGGGGAGGATTTGGTCAACTCAGAATCTTTCCAGAAAGAGATCCAGATCAAGATACCATGCAGTCTCAAGCTAAAAAGCCCCACCCTAGAATTTCTCAAAAGTACATCTATTAGCTAGGAAAGTTATAGCTTTAGCTTGGCAAGATTCTGTCTATTAGTTGCTGGCAAATAGAGGATTGCACTCAATTGGATCACACTGTCTCATCTCTGGGCTTGGGCCTTACAAAGTCTGAGCAGTGAATTCCTTGATACATGACTATGCACAGAAGTGGATAATAAAGCATATTTCAGTAGATTCCGCTGGGTGTTTCAGTTATGTTCAGTAGCATTAACCATGGTGTTTTCCTGCAGTGTCTGTCAACTATGAATTTGAAAGAAAGAATTTAATGGTAATACTCATTCTCTGGAAATCATTTTCAGGAGGTGGCGCTGGGAGCCTAGGGATGGTTCTCAATGCATATTTATGTAACATTTTGGAGACAAAAATTCAATTAGTGATAAAGTTCCTGCTGTAGTTATTGTCATTTTTCCTTTGCAGATATTTGTTTTTGTGTTTCCATTTTTTTCGATTCTCATTTTTAATTAATATTTTATGCAGACAATATCTGAGAAGTTCAGAACATTTATGGTCTATGGATAACTTATTGGGGACAAAAATAATAGACTGATAAAAATGTGGTGATGGGAATGATGCATGGAAGCCAAATCTTTGAATATTTCTAGTTCAAAGTGTTTGAAAGATGCAGTTGTTTGCTCATGCCTTTATAGTTCATTTTTTTATTTATGCCATTTTAAGGCTAATAGTTTCCCTGAATCTGAGCCATGGTGAAATGAAAAGCCAGTCTACTAGGATATTGTTGAAAGCATCAATCTCATTCCTGCAATGTTTGGATGCCTGATATAACTCTATGATACGTTTCACTTTCAAATCACTCCTCAGTTTGCATCGCAGTACTATGTATAGAGCACATGATTCTATCTTTGTAGGATCAAAGAGGAGATCACTGTACTTTGTAGACAAAGATAGACTAAAAGCAGTTAGCAAAGTAATGTCTTGTTATGATCCTCTGATTAATCTCTTTGAAGTGATCTGGGCACTTCCCTCTAGCACGTGTCTTAAATGTACCAAAGTCTTCAGTGAACCAGGAAAAAGTGACCATCCATTTGGCATATGTCACCCAGGAGATATAACATTCTACAAAGATAGCTAAATAGCTTCAACATTATAAGATATTTTATTAAAATTTCTTAATTAACATGTTGGATTGTATTAAAATAGCTATGCAGTAATCCCATATTTAGAACTTTGAACCATCAAACAGAAGGCCAGTTTTTTTATGTTGAGACCTAATCCCCATACTGTTATATAAGCAGTCATGATTTCCAGACTTACCTTGTATAATTCAGATGACCTGTATTAACAAGGTGTGAGTGAGAAGAGGAGAAAGAATATGTCCTTTGCAGTTGGCAGCATGTAGCTCACCCTAAATTATTTTGAACAGCTAAGAAAGGTTGGACCTGTTTTTTATTTAGATGGAAGATTATTAAGAAATCTCAAGTCTTTACTAAAATTGAGAAATTGGGGGGAAAAACATTCTGGAAAAAAACAGTGGCAAATCTGCTGGTGTTTCAAGGGCTCCTAAAAATCTTGCTCTTTGCCTGGTGATGAGAAAGAATAGAGTATGGAATAGAGGAAATTATGATGTAAACTTAAAGAGAGAAGGTAAAATGTACTTATCACTGCTTCTAAGAAGGCTAAAAACCACTTTTTCCTTTCCTTTCCCTTTTTCCTTTCCTTTTCTCTTCTGTATTTCTGTACCTTTCTGTAAGGTATTTTCACCTATTTAATTTTATTTATTTTCTATTTCAAAATTTGAATAATTTTTACTGTTTCAAAACTTTTTAAAAATAAACGTTTTGTTTGTGTGCGTACAAACCCTTCTTTTAGCCTTTTCCACTGAGTTGTTATTCTGTCTTCTCTAAATTTTTTGTTTCTTGTTATTTGTATTTGTTTTCATGGTTTGTAAATGTAAACACACACACACACACACACACACACACAATATCCCCGAGAATCAGGCAGCATATAAAATAAAAATGTCAGATCCAGTGTAAAGATCTGACTGACTATGTGACAAATGATAATATACCTTTAACACCATCAAACTTCAACATCCATTCCAGGTCCTTAAGATGNACCACTGAGTGCAATGTCTCTATGCTGAATGAAGCTACATTGGGATTTCTGTGAAATTCAATCCCTAACGCTAACCCAAGCCATTTAAGGTACATAAAACAAAAGTTAAGGGACCATAATTGACACTGCTTCTGAGTTAAAGCTCCAACCTGCATCCCATTACCGAGGAAAATTATATGGGGATGAAGAAGCCCTTTTCTTCTAGTTAACAGAACTTAAAATCGAAATATTTAAAATGTGGTTAGCTTAATCTTAACATACAACCATCTCTTTGTGCTATTCATACCTAATTTATTTACCTAATTTTCATAATGTGTTTCTTGGCCTTAAAGATTTTCATGATCCTGTTCTAATGCAAAACCTGAGGTTTTAACAATAGGAGCTTCAATGTTCACATTTACCTTTATGCCCTTAAAATGTTTCTTCATCCTCTTTTACTGGCATGAATAATCAGGATCAAACAAATACATATCTTTGTCCAAGACTCTAGGGCAACTATTGTCTAGCCATCTAAATCTTGTGCCCAACGTAGAAGAACAACCAATGTCTGTGGTCTCTGATGCATTCTATTAAAAGGAAGACCGTTCATTTTAGTGAGATATTGGTTTCTTTATAAGGAAAAAAAGTATATAGCTGGTATATCAAAATCTTTTCATTGCTAATGCCATAATATTCAACTCTGAAATAAGTAAGGGTGAAAGTCAATCTCACAGCATGCTTTAAAAATACTTTGAATATTGGCCATTAATTTCAATAGTGAAATTAATAAAATAGTGAAATATTTCATAAAATATTCTGAAAGCAGTTCATAAATATAAACAATGCATAATGCTTTAGGACAAGTAAAATAACTTACTATACCAGGATAAACTTGTGCCAATCATTTTAATGAATATATTAATGCAACAAGCAGATATAAAAACATCAAGAATAACATCAGTTATTTGGTGAACTCTGTCCATTGAATTTAACTATATAATTGTAGATACGTAATATTTTTGATGGTATGGTGCAGAGTATGAACACAAGAGTGCCTTTGCCAAGCCACAAAGCTTATTAATGTTCATTAAATATACTGCAGCAGATGCTGACCTTCACACATAGTTAAAAAGAACAATATTTTATTTTCTAATTGCTCTTAGTATTAATTACAGTTTCATGTGTTTATTAGCCAGAGATCCGCCTCAGCAATTTTTAAATTAACATATTTTCCTCAGGTATCATAAAAGCAGGCTATAGAGCAATCACAACAAAATTGGCACTAAAATTATTAAAATATCAATTCCAGCATACTTTTCCTCAAAAAAGCCAGGAGGCAGTAACACAGGGGAAAACGTCAGATATACAGAAATAAAGAGTTTTATCTAATGTGTTTTGTACCAGAGACAAATTCATTGTGACTAATCATGCTTGGTTGAATAAAGTATTCAATTCAATTGCTCACATTGGAGGTTTGATTATACCAAAAGGAACATTAATTTCTCTTTCATTTTGGCTGATATAGATTTGAATGACATTCCAGGAGTTAATTAATACTTATCGACGTAAAACTACAAATAATGATAACTAAAATGGAACAGGTAACCTATGTACATACTTGCTCCATCTTCTTTCCAAATAGTCATAATTGATGGGAAAGCCCAAAATTCCTGTTCTCCTTTTTTAGGGTGTGTCCTATTTGAAAGGCTGCCTAGCTAAAATAACGTAGATAGCAATAGCAATATCAGTAGACTTATATACCGCTTCATAGGGCTTTCAGCCCTCTCTAAGCGGTTTACAGAGAGTCAGCATATTGCCCCCAACAATCCGGGTCCTCATTTTACCCACCTCGGAAGGATGGAAGGCTGAGTCAACCCTGAGCCGGTGAGATTTGAACCGCTGAACTGCTGATCTAGCAGTAGCCTGTAGTGCTGCATTTAACCACTGCGCCACCTCGGCTCAGTTGAGCTTTATCTACCCTGTTTTCCCGAAAATAAGACCTCCCCGGATAATAAGCCCAATCGGGTTTTTGAGCACATGCGTTAAAATAAGCCTTTCCCCCAAAAATAAGCACTCCCCAAAAATATTGCAACACAGCAGCAGCCATGAGGTGACCATGCTTGCTGCCTTCTGCACCTCAAAAATAATACCACCCCCAAAATAAGGCCAAGTGCTTATTGGGGGGGTGTCAAAAGAAAATAAGACCTTGTCTTATTTGAGGGGAAACATGGTACATTTGAGACCTGAGATACATTTGGGATCCTGCAATGAAGTAGCCCTCTTATCCTTATCATTTTAGAAGTTGATGAGACTTACATGAATTGTTCGCTGCCCTGAGTCCTCCCGGAGAAGGGCGGCATACAAATAATAAAATACGAATACAAATACGAATACATAATTTCTATCATACAGTTATTTGTAATCAGAAATATTATTTTGGTTACTATCTTTTAAAGCTATGGATTTAAACCCTCATTTTGAATGGACTTTAAAATGTACCAGAAACAGAAAGAGATTTCAGTATAATCAGTTAATTGGGGGTAATATTTAAACTCTACAGAATTTACTCACTGCATTTTGAAATAGATATACATATAGTCCATGTCAGTAACTGGGGTACCAACCTAAGGAACTAAAATACCCTTCTTGTTGGAAATGCCAATTGAATTATTATTTCTTTATTTTTCACATTTCTGAACCATCCATCTTCCTCAAAGAGAGAGCAAAATGTCCTAGTTTCTCAGACCTAACCCATCATATTATAATCAATACATACTCAAGGTCTACTAAATCTAATGAAAAGAACCTTAATGAAAAGAATAGAAGTTTCTGCATTGTAAGCATAGCTTCAGAATCCCCAAGCTGATTTTGAATGTCCATGTTGTATATCCATAAAAATAGCTCTCTTGTACTATCTATTTTGCTGTAATAACTTCGGGCAAGTAGTCTGGGAACAAAACTGAATTATGATCTGTGCAACATTATGTTTTATACAATACAGTACCACTTCTGCTGTAATGGATAATCTTGAGAATATTATTCAATCATACTGAGGGATCACCAACCCAGGAAAAGGGAGAGAATAATTCTTCCCGCACAAACTCAGAATTACCCTTATTTCTGTAATAGCAAAATATACAGTTTAATGTCATTTCACTCTTGCAGCCTTTACTTATGATTTAGATTAAATTTGTTTCCTTGTTTGATTATATGTTCAAAATACCCTCTGCTTCTTCAAACACCTTTAGCTCTGGGAGAAACAGAGTGAAATAACCCCAGGGATAGTCAACTATGTCCGCCTGGTGCAAAATCTGGAGATATTTATTGGGGGAAGGTATCTAAGCAAGGCTGGTTCCCCCTTGCCTCTCTTATCAGAGAATGTGAGAACTCACCCAGAAGAGCAGATTGAGGGCATAAAGCAAGCACCGCAAACACTTCACGGAATCTTCTCTGGCCATTGTGATCTCCTCTTGGTGAAAAGCCCCATTCTCAGACTGGCTACATCCTCTTTTCAACTCCAGCAACTAGAAAAGCTTTCACAACCTGAAAAAATAAAAATAAAAGGGGAGGAGAGGTGAAAGAAGAGAAAGGATTACCTCATGGGTGAAGGCTGAAAGAAAGTAAACAAGGGGATGCAAAGATCAACCTGTTGCATGGTGGAAAAGAAACAATTCTGCCTGCAGTATCTTTTTAGTAAACTAACCAGACCTTCTGTTACTTACTTGAACCTCCTCCATGGTGCCAGAAATAGATCTGGAGAGTTTGGGAACACAGCAAAGATCAACCACACACACACACACACCACTGGTAAATAATAATAATAAATAGACGCGATGGAATTTGAGATCGACTGACAAGGGTTCATAGAACCCTGGATGGCAGCCTTAACCGGTGCCTAATTTGCTCCGAACTGTAACTTTCTTTTTCTACGTGGGCCTATTTCACCTCTGCACCGAAACGTTGCTGGGAATAATTACACCTGCTTTGGAAGGGTGGGAAAAGTTTGTCCTTTTATTACTCATTAACGACCTTGGTAGCGCGCGCGTTAACAGAGACGGTGAAAAAGTTGCGCGATCAAGGCAGAGTAGTTCTCCATCTTCACGCTATGGCCAATTTCGGGGAACGGGGGCAAAAAAAAGAGGAGTTTTTTTTTCTTACTAAGGAAGGGGGAAAACACGCCTCGCTTTCCAGATTTAATAGGATGCAGAGTGCGATCCCCGGATCTGCTGGACTGTCAAAGGGAAAAAGCGAGGTTCACTTGTCGGGGTGGGAAAGAACGAAGCGAGTAAGAAAGGTGACCGACCAGCCTCGTGAAGTGCAGGGCTGGGGGCAGCGGAGTTACTCGCTTGGGCCATTTGGTCATCGGCTCCTTCTTCGCAGATGCTGCTACTCCAGGAACGCCGCGACTAAAGGCTCCTCGATCCACGCTTTCCCTTCCCTCTCCAATCCCAGCAACGACCAGCACTGATTGAACCGCGCGTCTCAAGAGCCAGCCCGGAGCTAGCTTGTAGCAGAAGTTCTACTCTTGAGTAGACAATGCAAGGGGGGAGCGGGGGGGATGGAAAGAAAGGTGTAGAAAAAGTCCAGGAACCTACCACGCTCGCCACATGGGCTGCGCAAAGACCCCTTGTCCTTCTCCGAAACGGGAGTCAAATCCCAACAAGCAGTTCCGTTTAAAACCAGGAGCTTTCCGGCTTAGCGCTTTGCAGGGGAAAAGGCTGCTGGGGCAAGCGAGAACTTCACTTGCAAAACTATTTCTTAACTCCCACCTCCTTGCCAAGTCCTGAGTGGCGGCTCTTCGAAAGGCAGCCGCCAGCTGCACAAATCATTGCCACGCATGCTCCAGATCTCCTCTTCTGTCGGGTCTTAGAGCCCGCTGGACAGGCGTTTCTTCACTCTTTAAAAAAATGCTCAGTTTTTTAAAACAGAGACAACTGGCAAATGGGATAGTTTGCTTCCTGCTTTTGGCCTGTGTAACTTGTCTCTAGCTGAAATAATGCTAAGGTTAATGCCATTACTAATAATAATAGGCACAATCACCATCGGTTAATTGCAAAAGGCAGCTTTTCTTGGAACAGCTCACATCCTGCCAGGATACCTTTAGCGCTATCAAACAATGACATCTGCCTATCACAGATTCTTGGAAAAGACACAGCAGGTGGATAAAAAAATGTCAGATCCAGTCTAAACAACTGGCTGACTGCAATCAACCATAAAAATAGGCCAGAATTGAAGAAATCATTAAAATATTAAAAATGCAGATTGTGCAAAGAAGCATTTACATATACAGTTTAAGCAAAAAGATTGCACAAAGTGATTATAAACAATGACACAACGCAGTCCTCAAAATGATTCCATGGAGTATCTGTAAAAATTATCATGTGCCAGTAATGAAAAGTTGGTGCGATTTATATAGTTGAAAAATAGCTGAAAAGGAGCAGGTTAAAATATTGTGGGATTTTTCAAATACAGAAATTGGCTTATAATACACCAGATATAACTGGTTGAAAAGAAGTAAGTGTTGATAATTGATGTGGCAATACCAGAGGATAGCAAAATAGAAGGCAAAGAACTACTATAATAAGATCACTAAATTTAAATTTAAAGATTATGGCATAAACTGGCCATGATGGTCCCAGTAATTATCAGCATTCTGCGTACCATGCCAAAAATCTTGGATGACACTTTATGGTGTCATTTTCTATCTATGGATTGACAAAATTTCCATCTGTCAATTACAAAAGGCCATGGTGCTTGGATCCAGATATATGCTATGCTGATATATTATGACATCATAGATTCTTTTAACACAGGTAGTCCTCGACTTATGACCACAGTTCAGCCCCAAATGTATGTTGCTAAGTGAGAAATTACTTAAGTGAGTTTGCACCATTTTGCCATATTTGTTAAGTGAATCACTGCAGTTGTTAAGTTAGTAGCATGGTTGTTATGCGACTCTGGCTTCCCTATTCACTTTTGCTTGTCATAAGATTGCAAAAGGGGGGTCATATGACCCCAGCATAGTGCAATTGTCATAAGTATGAGTCAATTGCCAAGCATCCAAATTTTGATCACATGACCACAGGGATGCTGCAAGTGTGAAAAATGATCATCAGTCACTTTTTTCAATGCCATTCTAACTTTGAACTGTCACTAAAACCGTTGTAAGTCAAGGATTACCTGTACCTTGATGTGTATTAAAAAACCAACAGCTGTGATTTCACATTTTTATCAAACAAATAAGAGTTTACCAGAGGCGGAAGTATGAGTGCATAGAATGTTTGCTGATTTTAATCACTCGATTGTAAAATGGAAATAATGATCATGAATTAGAGATTACAGGAGAGACAGCATAGCCAGGAGATGAGCAGCAGAGCACTCTAGGAACTGTATCTGATAGAAAACAGAAACAAGGGTTTTTTTCAATCTCATTGTGAAATTGTAAAAATATTCCTATGCATAAATAACAGTACATGAAATCTACAGTTCTGTACATATTTGTCTAAGAGCCAGACTGAGTCCAATGGGATTTAACTTCTGAGCAGTCATGTATGTGGTAATGCTATAAAATTCAACTGTGCTATTCCACAGAGTTGATTAGCAAATATTTGATCTATTGCAGTTTGAACCTGTTGACTTGGATGACTTCTTCATGAGAGCCTCATTTAAACTTTCAAAGGTTCCTCCTCAGAAATTGTTGTGTTAAAATTTACAATTTTTGTGACCCCATAAAGTACCAACACAGTAACATAACTTTAATTGGATATGATAACCAAGCACTCAGTTATCTATTCAAAAGATTGATAGCTACAGTATTCAGAAGAAAGAATGATGAGAAGGATGGAACCAAATTAGTAAAAATATAAGCAGAGAGACATATTGAGAGACAGTGTATATGCACATGTGTATGTCCATGTGCCTTCTGGTAGACCTCTGAAATGCATTCTGTTTGCATCCATCTATGCTCTGCTTGAATGTGTCGATAGGGAAATATTACAAAAACATTTTTTTAAAATTTAGACAAGCTTTTCATCCATAAACAAACTTATAAAACATTGTAGTAAGGGTGCTTGTTTGCCTCAATTTTATTTATATTTTCTCCATATTTTTTACTTACCAATTTTAATCTATTGTTTTGTTGATTAGATTTCTATGTGGTATTTCTATTATTTTATGTACCTTGAGCACTATTTAGTGGAAATGTGAATTTAAAATGTAGACACATTTTTTTTAAAAAGTTTTTAAAATGTTTAGGGACCTGTTCTGACCCCCCTCATCCTACACCAAAGCATGCCGAGACAAAGATACTGCAAGNCTCCCTCCTTCCTACCCCACTTTCTTCTCTTTCTTCGGGGTTTAGAGTTTTTGTAAGAGGCATCCACTCTCATCTCCCGGCCCATGTGCTCCTTTTGGACACAAGGGTCACCTTGCTCCAAGGAGCCATAAATGCTCCAGGAGTAATGTCTCTTCCCCAAAGTATAGTAAATTGTTCTTTCATCTTCTATCGAAGCAGCAGTGTAAAGAGGAAGAAGGCGGAATTTGTGGTGGATAGAAGAGAGAAAATAAATTGTGTTCCTACTGCAGAGGCTTCAATTGATAAATAATGCATGTAGAGTGTGCAGTGATAACTACTCTTTTCCGATTCAGCTGGTTATGATATATTTTGACACAAACTGTATGTATTTCTTACAGGCAGTGAATGATTGCAGCTTATTTCAAGTTATGGAAGGGAAAAACAGGCTGTTAACATCCTGGATCATGTCAGATAGGTTAATCTGGCATTTTACCTGGGGATGTAATGTATACAGGGAAAGAAAAGACAAACTGTTTTTTTTCCCTCTCTTTTATAATATTTGAACTTAGGTTGGGATATCATTCAGAGAAGTGAGCCAACCCTCAACTCCATATTCATCCCCAAAAATCCATAATACAAATATATTCACTTTTTCATATGCTTTCTTTAAACCAATAAACACATAATAAACTTCCTTTCTCACATTCATGTACATTTCAGTGTCTTGCAGACGAGCACAAATCTGGTCTGCACATTGCTTTATGTGCCGGGGTGGCGCAGTGGTTAGAGTGCAGTACTGCAGGCCACTTCAGCTGACTGCTATCTGCATTTCGGCAGTTCAAATCTCACCGGCTCAAGGTTGACTCAGCCTTCCATCTTTCCGAGGTGGGTGAAATGAGAATCCCAGACTGTGGGGGCAATATGCTGACTCTGTAAACTGCTTAGAGAGGGCTGAAAGCCCTATGAAGCGGTATATAAGTTTAACTGCTATTGCTATTGCTATTTAGATGTGAGCATAAAACTTCACTGCTTTACTTTTACTAAATTTTATTCTCGGTCAGCCTTGGTATCATTTCACTCTTAATTCTACCAAACATCTTTTTAGACAAACCTACCTTTCCCGTTCCAAAGGAGAACAATGATTTTGAAGCATCCGGCATTGATTCAGTCACTTCCAATACTCATTCAATGAGTCACATGGTCAATTCATAAGCAAACCACATCCTTATCTTAACATTGTTCTAGTTTCATCACCTATAACTGCAGCTTTACCATTTTTCAATTTTCGGGTCGCACGTGTTGCTTTGCTTTCCCCATTTTTTTCCTCAGACGTTTTTTCAATTCCTCTACACATCTCTAAAATACTTCATCCAGTATTCCTTCACTTCAGTTCAATATCAAACATCTCTTTTATTATTTATATTATTAGTATCATCACTCTGCCAGAGGTTCCTTGTGCAGACTAGAAGGACACTCAGAAATACTATCTTCATTGTAAGATTACACTAACAGAATCTTGCAAGTTTGAAAGTACATCTCTCCCCTCTCATCTTTACAACACAAAAAAACTAGGGAGGGTGTTCTGACCCCCCTCGTCCTACACCAAAGCACACCGAGACAAAGATACTGCAAGGATTTATTAACACACAGACAGGACCTTGGCAGCAAGCCAGCACAGACAAGACGTTGGCAGCAATCCAGCCTGCCATGCTAGCCACGAAAATTCTCCAACTTTAGTGAATACGTTGACTCCTGCAAAGGGCGTGTGCACAATCATTCCTTTTATAGTCTTGAGAGGAGCCTAATTACCACCAGCTGAGTGCAATTATCTCCTGTAACTGCGCAACTGTTCCTTACGCGTATTAGCTCTTCGTTGCTGGGCATCCAGGAACAACTCCCTTGGCTCCTCCCCACTGCTCCAATGCATGATGTCCGGATCACACTCCCTTGTCTCCTCCCCACTGGTCCAAGGCTCAGGTGCCTCCTGGTGGCCAACCAGCCTCTCTGGGCCCTGCTCAGAGTCGGAACCCTGTCCAGAGTCCTCCACATCATCCAGAGCTGACTCATAGGGCCCCTCGCTGTCGGAGTTTGGTGGCAGCTCCAACGGCTCCTGCTGGGCCACAACAGGAGGGTATTTTCTGAGACAATTGTCTCAGACAATTGTTCCTTCTGGGGACGCAGCTGTCTCTTGTCTGACCATTTTCTAGTTTGTGGCTCTTTCTCCTCTCTCAAATTAATTCCCATGTAGCATTTCACTTGTTTAGCCTTTTTCAACCACTTCCCAAATATTTCCATAGCCTATTTTAACTCATCATTCAATCAAACATCTTTTTTTTTCATACTTCTTATTATGAGCCACACAAAGTGTGTGTGTCAGAATGTTGTGCATTCAGGCTTTTGTCTCTCTGCTCCCCTTTTATGTAATTTCCCAATCTTATCATGGTGAGCTGTTGGACA